CAAAAACCTGATCCCCCCCCCCCCCCCCCCCCCCCCTTTCAGGCGAGGAGAAGTAAGCCTCCCCACAGTTTCGCTTAGCCCCTTCATTGGCGAAATCCTGGCTACGCCACTGGATATCTTTCCGAGCAGGAGATTCTCTCGGCAGTGAATGCTACTCACACGAGTAACACTTGAGTAGGGGAATCACTTTTTTTCTCGTCGAGAGGCGAATGCGTGAAACGCACTGAGATGTTGCAGTGACTGCCCTTTCCGCGAGTAGCTTTCTGAAGAGGTCACATGCCTTCATGGAAAAACATAGGAAGCAATAAAGCAGTAAGTCACTGAATGGTAGGTCCATCTCGAATGAGTTAGGGGAGGAGAAGAGTCAAGCGAGGGAAAGAAATCACCTCAAACTGTTCCAATACATATATGATGATCTGGTGTCCGAGCGATTCCTCGTCAATGAAGTCCCGACGGTCATTTTCTAACATTTAAATCTCGGATAGTGAATTTCCCTACGGTGGTCGTTCAAAGTTAAGTCGGTTGATCTGAAAAATTCCCCGACTCGTCCGTTTTCCGAATGGCGAATTCTTCGATGATGGAACGACAGCACAGCGGTACGAATTCGATCCGATCGGCAATCGGGAATGAAAATTTTTATGCAATAATTTTTTGTTGCGAAAATTAGTCCGACCGTGATCGTCTATTCATTGCCAGGACGAGACTCGCATGAAAGAAGAAAAAGAAAGTAGTAATGGTTGCAGGATGATCTATTCCTTTCGGAAGATGATATATTCCTTTCGGCCACAACCAGGAGATTGTCAAGACGACCATCTAGATCTTAACTTGTGAATCGAGCTCGAACAGTTAGGTGGATAGACTTTCTGATCTGCCGATCTTTTTGAAGCCGGTCGTTTCGTGGGTTAGTCATTTCAGGGGTATACTTGTACAACCATGCGGATAAAATCCTCAATTGGCCAACGGTGGAACGGGGAGAGGCTGGGCTCTAATAGATGCAATAGAAGACTGGGAATCAGGTGTAGTCGATTCACCCAGGAGAAACGTATTGCATACCAAACCGGACGATTCATGATAATCTTCACCTAATCAGGGATGTGATATGGTACTCCAACTCTCAAGATATCCCCCTTGCCGTCGTCTCTCTCGACCAAGAGAAGGCTTTTGACAGAGTCCATCATGATTTTCTCTTTTTTATACTGGAAAAGTTCGGATTTCCTCCCTCTTTCATCGATGCCATTAAATTGCTTTACAAAAATGCAGAATGTATCGTTCGAGTCGGGAAGTATCTGTCTGCCCCCTTTCCTTTTCTCAGAGGTATTCGACAAGGTGACCCCCTTTCCGGGTTTTTATACTCCACCTCCATTGAACCTTTTTTGCATATTCTTCGCCGTCGACTATCGCCGTTTGCTTTTAATTCTTCAGTTGCCTTTCGCCCCATCATGATCTCGGCTTATGCTGATGATGTTACCGTTTTTATCTCCTCGGACCCTGGTTTTCGAATTTTGCAATCATGTTATGAAGTGTATGCTGCAGCTTCCAAT